TGAATGTGGAGAAGAAGCCCTCTTTGCTGTATTCTTTGTTTCCTTCTTCCTGCTGGATTTCAGCCACAATAGAACCCTGTCTGATTTCGAGGGAGAGATTTCTGTAAAGAAGGGGAAAAATCATTTTTCTATAATTTGTAAAGTTGTGAGAAAGCCGCTATCATGGGTTTTCCACTGAATATTGGAACATTTCAAAAACAATAAAGGTACTTTCTAATGAGCAGCTCGCCTTTGTGACTGCTGGTGGCCTTGGCGTGAGCCTGCTGCGTGTGCCTTGTTAGTCATGAACGGTCTTACCTTGCTTCCCTTCCTTGTTCAGGGTGGCCGGTTACTGGATAGCATGTACCACCAGGAAATCTAGTAGGTGTTGGATTCCTAGTCATTGATGTAACAAATATGTGAGCACCTACTGTGTGCCAGGCACCAGAAATCTGAGTAGGATCAAGTTCAAAATTCCCCCACCCTCGTGGAGCTGACGGTCTGGCTAGGGGGGTAGAGAGACAAACAATCCCAGGAGTGAGATTGGTATCAGATGGTATTATAAGGGAGCTCTGGTGGCACAGTGATTAAAGCCATCAACTGCTAACCAAAAGGTAGACCATCAGCTGCCCTGTGGGAGAAAGATGTGACAGTCTGCTTCCATAGAGATTTACAGCCTTGGAAACCCTGTGGGTCGCAATGAGTCGGAATTGACCGGATGGTGGTGGGAAGAGTTTTGGAGTTCTTGAGTGGCGCAAACAGTTAAGCGCTTGGCTGCTAATGGAAAGGTTCAAGTCTACCCAGAGGTGCCTTGGAAGAAAGGCGTGGTGATGTACTTCTGAAAAATCAGCCATTGAAAAGCCTATGGAGCACAGTTCTGCTTGGACACATGAAGTCACTATGTGTCGGAAGATACTTGGAAGAGGTCCTAATGTGATCTGGAGCTGGTACACGTGACACTGCCAGGTGGCTTACATGTATGAATTTATTTAATCCTCATAACAGGCCTGAGAGGTAGGTACGGTTATTGTTTACTTTACAGATAAGAAAACCGGAGTCCCAAACCAAAACCAAACCTGTTGGCCGTTGCGTCAGCTCTGACTCAGCGACCCTATAGGACAGAGTAGAACTACCCCGTAAGGTTTCCGAGGCTGTAAATCTTTACAGAAGCAGACTGCCGCATCTTCTTCCCGCGGAGCGGCCTTTTGGCTAGCAGCTGAGTGCTTTACCACTGCACCACCAGGGCTCCACTGAAGTCCCAGAGGGTTGACTACCTTGCCCAAGGTTATATGGCTAGGCAGTGGTGGAGCTGGGAATCGAACTAGCAGACTGGTTTCAGTGTCAATGCTCTTAATCACCATGCTATCTATAGTCTCCTCCTGGGCTTCCAGGAAGGGTGATGGTCAACAGAAACCTGGAAGGTGGCGCAGTGTTAGGCTAAGAGGTGGAGGAAGAGTAGGAACAGCAGAGTTCTCACTGGAGAAGCCAAAAGCAGGAGGGCTGTGAAGAAGAGGCTGGTAGTGAGAAAAGGGGCTGGAGAGGTAGGCAGGGGCCAGATCGTGGAAGACGTTGAAAGCTGTGAGCCGGGAAGGTGATAGGATTAGATTTGGTTTTCAGAAAAATCACTCTGGATAGTGGTTGGAGAATGGATTTAGGATTGTTTTGAGCATTAAAAGAACTGATACATACAATAGTGCCTAGCAGAGAACAAATATGATATGTGTCCACTGCTTTTATTATTACTACTTGCTTTTAAAAAGAAAAAAATTATAGTGTTTTAGGTAAAAGTTGAAAGTGCAAATTAGTTTTTCGTTCAAAAATTTATGCACAAATTGTTTTGTGACATTGGTTGCTTATTATTTGCTTTTAATGGCCCAGTAGAGGAGATGGGCCTGCAAAGGAGGCAGAGCAGGAGTGTCTGGGGAAATAGGAGGAAACAAGGCCACAAAGGACCACAGAAGTCAAGGAGGAGGCCTTGATCAGCAGTGCCAAATGCTGCCAAGAAATCAAGATTATGCTTGAAAAATATCTATTGGAGTTACTGAGTTGAAGATCGTTGGTGAACTTGGTGGGAGCAGTTTCAGTGGGGTTCCATGCAGGGGATGTGGGCAGCGGCACACTGTGCAAATGTAGAAGGTGGCACACAGTTGCTAGGGGGCGCAGTTCCCCCGAGGCAGGGCCCCATGTGTCGAGGGAAGAGCCCCTCCTTTAGCTTGAGTCTGCTATCACATAAGCTCACTGTTGCAGAGCAGGGCTGAGAAGTAGGTCTCCTTCATTCAGGTAATATTTATTTAAAACATTAAAACCAGTTGCCATTGAGTCAGTTTTGACTCATGGCGACCCCATGTGTGTCGGAGTAGAACTGTGCCCCATAGGGTTTTCAATAGCTATGATCTTTCAGAAGTAGATCATCAGGGCTTTCTTCCAAGGTGCCTCTGGGTAGACTCGAACCACTAACTTTTTGGTTAGCAGCTGAGCATATTAACTGTTTGTGCCACCCAGGGACTCCATTTAAAACATAGCCCTATTTTTTTTTGGCTGAGATTTTTGCTTCCTCCCTGCCCACCCCAAAAAAGCGGATGATGTGACTGTGGGGCAAGCACTGAGCCTGTCGATGGGGACGTGAGGATAAATAGGAGCTCTCAGGGTAGTGGGGACATTGGGCAAGTAGGCTTTGATACGGGGAAGGAAATGGCGGGAGTCTAGAGGGCTGGGGTGGGCAGGAGGGAAGAGCTGGGCCGCTTTATGACTTTCATGAGCCCTGGGCACTTGTGCCTTTGTCGGTCCCTTTTCTCCATAAAAATAACACTGAAAATTATATTTACCACTATGTTGGTATAAAGGCAAATATATTAATATTATATGTTAAAACATTTCCGTGGACCTCTAGAAGTAACCTGGGCCTTAGGTGTACTGTGTCTGCTGTGCCTAATGGTCGAGTTAGCCCTGGACTAGGGTAATGGGGGATAGTGTTAGGCTTCTGGGTACCTGGGATAAGAGAGGTGGGGAGGAGACAAACCCTGAATGAGACACACAATTCTATTTAGCATTGCCTCTGCATCTAAGGAAGATTCCCATAAGCCAGCCAGTTCCCAGAAAGGGCAAATTTGGGTTGCTGGGGGTTGGGTGCTCGGGAGGCTCATGCTGTGGGTCCTCCTTCCCCTCTTACGGGGGAGAAAGAAGCAGTGTCCTTGCTGATGGACACCCACTGGGCCCAGTTCACCAGGCAGCTGATGGCAGAGGAGACCAGATGGTGGTTCATGTGGAGCCACCTCGCACCAGGGCCCCTTGGTCTTGTGAAAGCAGCCATGTCTGCCCTCTGTCACTAATGCCACGGTCTGGGGGTACAGCTTTGGGAGGGGCGGCCAGTGGTCTCCCACAGGCAAGGTACCTGCTTCCAGGATGCCAAGGGTCCTGTGAGTCGTCAGATTCCAGCGCAAAGGTAAGGAGTTTTCTTCTGTGTGAGCCGTCAGATTCCAGCGCAAAGGTAAGGGCTTTTCTTCTGTGTGTGCCGTCGGATTCCAGCGCAAAGTGAGGGGTCTTCTTCTGTGTGAGCTGTCAGTTTCCAGCACGAAGGTAAGGGGTTTTAATCTGTGGGCCTCTTGATAAGTACATGTGTGTCTATGAGAGGTGGAGCAGGGGATGTGGTTCATGTGGCTTCTGATTAATTCATGTCATTTAACATTGATTGCCTACAAAACCAGGAGGGGGCGGGGAGTTTATGATTTGAAGAGCCCATTTCAGATTTTTCTTTAGAACATGGCCCCATCTGAGCCCATTCTGGCTGCTAAACCCAGGAGGTTTGTGTTGGCTTGGAATCCACCGCAAGTACCCTCCCTGTTGCCATGGTGATTCTTAGGCAGCCCCTGAGGCTGGATTCAGCACTTTGCACAAAAACAGGACCAAGCCCCTCCCCACGTCTCCCTCCAGTCCCACTCGGTCTCTCTCCCCAACCCCACCCCCCCCACACACCCTTCCCCACCTCCTGAGTTTTCCATCTCTTGGCCTTTGTTTTTGCCTTTGTCAGTCTTCCCCCTTTGGATGGCTTTCTGTTTGTTTCCAAACTGTCTGGGGCTACGCACCAGGGAGACAGTGTCCCAGGCTGCCTCTAGCCCTGATCTGGTTTAGAATAAGCCCCTCTCTTTTGTATGCATCTCCAGCATGACATTTGGAACATCCAAAATAAATCACGATGTTCTAAAGCAAGTTACAAACCACCATCTCCACCCACTCCAGCTGGCGCCTTGTCCACCTGGAAAGGGTTTTTAGAAAATTTGCAGTGTTCCACTACAGTGTCCATAGAGTGCAGCCCTGAGGAGGGGCAGCAGCATTTATGGAATACCTTCTGTATACTAGCCACTGGGCTAGGCTTGCTTGTGTTGAAAACCTGGTGGGCAGATGATGTTTCCTGCCTTAAAGCTCGACTGCAAGCTGGTTGAGGGCAGCACTCAGATCTTTGTATACCCAGGTGTCTAAGATACAGGAAGTGCTCAAGAAGTTTATTGAGTGAATAAATGGATGAAAGGATGCAAGAAACTTCCCGGCCATAGGATAACGATTGAATGTCAGCAACAGGGATTGAAGTTGTTGTAGGTGCCGTTGAGTC